TAACACCCCCCCCCAAGTCCTCCTTTATGTTCCCATAATGTATTTCATTTTGCTTTTCCACTCTTTTACCTTTGGCAAATGTCCATGTTATTATTACTACTATTTCTGCTAATACTGTTGGGGGAGCTAAATAGTAATGACTCAGCACTGAAGTGTAAGAAATAGTCAAAACTCTTACAGTGCAACATTTTAATATTTCATCCATTTCTCCTTAAGATAACTTTTGTCTACAAAGACCCTTTGCCCTCTACATCACATTTTTACACTTGACCTTTGAGATTTGATTCCACTGTTGAACCTAAATGTTATCACATGACTTCCCAATCCAGAATCTTTTTCCTCTCTAGCCACTTCTGCCATATTTCTTCCCCTAAATTTCTCTTTTTCCTGCCACTCAATACCCCAGAACTTAATGAAAATGCACTTCATGGAAGACCTTTCAGGGAAAATCCAAAAAGCACATTGCTTTTTCATTTTCAAATACCTTAATGATATGGAACTGTACATCCAGCTATTTACCTTGTCACCTTCCAGTTAAATAAGTCAGGACATAGGAACACTGATACTGCCCACTTCAGTATCAAAGTTTGATTAAAGAAGCAGGGAAGAGAGGCCACATGGAGAGGTGAGGAAAGCCCTGTTAGAAGGAACAGGCAGTAACACGCAGGGATACACACACCCACAGACCTGCAAGGATGAGAATGGCCATTGCCAAAGGAGGAGCTGATGTGTGCTGACATGCTTTAGCTGTGCAGGGGAGGGAAAATAATTTTCCTTCTACCCTTTTAAGGTTCCTTTGACTGCTCTGATCATCAAATTGACATGAGACAGGAGAAAATGATCAAACTTATCATGTACACATGGGGGTTCCACCAGAACAGTGATGGTGAACCTTTTGAGCTCGGCGTGTCAGCATTTTGAAAAACCCTAACTTAACTCTGGTGCCGTGTCACATATAGAAATTTTTTGATATTTGCAATCATAGTAAAACAAAAATATCATGTATTTTTTTGATATTTATTTTATATATTTAAATGCCATTTAACAAAGAAAAATCAACCAAAAAAATGAGTGTCATAGGTTCGCTATCACTGCATTAGAATATGGGATCCAAGGAAAAACTGGGCAGCTGAGGCTTACGTGCTATCTTGAACTAAAAAGAAGGAATAGTGAGGGGTGAGGGGACATCAAAAGGCAAGAAGGCAATTCACATGGAGATGGAAAAGCATATATTTGGTAAGTAAATGTTTGCTGGGCCATCTTTAAACAGTGAGACCCACATTGGACATTGGCCACGTCCCTGTCTGTCACACACTAGCTCACATCCTAGTTCTGTCTGATGTCTCCCTTCTGGGAGCAGGTCCTCTAGCTAAAGTCTTTCAGGCAGTTAGGGGGGAGGTCAAAGGTTGCTCCTGAGTCCTTCCTTAAAAATAACCAACTTCAAATAACCAATATCCCAAAAGAAAGCATATATGGGGTGGCAAGCTCTCCTTCCTCTCAGCCGTCCAGCACGAAGCCAGTGTGCCCAAGGCAGAATGTTCGTCTTAAACGAAACACCGCCAAGTCCGCACTTAGGACATGACTACATCACACGGCAGGCGCTCACAGGGAGTCACCAGCACCAGGCAATCCCCCAGCAGTGGCGGCCTTGGCGTTAGAGGGGACACCCATGTTCTCTTCCAAGGCAGGTGCGATGCCCAAAACTCGGAAGGAGCGCAGACGGAGGGATGCTTCGCGCCTGGTGCACCAGGAAGCTGGAGGGGCTGTCCAGGAGCTACCTCACTGATGTGGTAGGAAATCCAGGAAGGAGCAGCTGCATGCGTCAAGGTCAGAGAAGGGAAAGGGGCCCATGGGGAGAGGCTAGAAGAGCAGGCTGGAGACGGAGAGGCAGGCTGTTAAAGGCCTTAAAGACCACATTGAAGAGTTTCAACTTCCTCCTTCCCTGAGGAAAGAACAGCAAAGCTTTTGAAGCAAACAGATGTCACAGCTCTCATATGAAAATCTACATTGGGGATGTGGCAGGGGAACTCATTGTTTCCTTCATCCATCCGCTTTTTCAAAAATACCTACTTTGTATCGAATATAGTAAATACTGGGAACAGTGCTTTAAAGAAAATACCATACAAGCATAGTCCCTGCTCTGATGAAACTTGCACACTAGCAAGGCTAAAAGTCACTAAATAATTACAAAATTAGTACACGTGACACCAGTGATCAACTAGGCAGTGGTTCTCAACCTTCTGGCCCTTTAAATGCAGTTCCTCATGTTGTGATCCCCCACCCATAAAATTATTTTCGTTGCTACTTAATAACTGTAATTTTTCTACTGTTATGAATCGTAATGTAAATATCTGATATGCAGGATGGTCTTGGGGGACCTCTGTGAAAGGGTCGCTCGACCCCCAAAGGGGTCACGACCCACAAGTTGAGAACCGCTGAACTAGAGGTAGAGAAAGGAGAGGAGAGAATGTTTTCAAGCTTACACACTGGATTGACACTGGTCTGTTAACCATAAACAAAACAAAACAACCCTAACTGGTTTGGCTCAGTGGGTAGAGTGTCGGCCTGCAGACTGAAGGGTCCCAGGTTCGATTCTGGTCAAGGGCATGTACCTTGGTGGCAGGCACATCCCCAGTAGGGGGTTTGCAGGAGGCAGCTAATCGAACTCCCATCAATGTTTCTAACTCTCTATCCCTCACCCTTCCTCTCTGTAAAAAATCAATAAAATATATTTTTAAAAATCAAAGCAAGGGAGGGAAAAGCCATATTGTGGCTGGTTCCTTCTGAGTCAGAAAAGCTTGAAGTGCTGAGTGACCTCTAGGTGGAGTCGACCAGTAAGCTACCCTAGAAGAACTGCAGCTCAGCAGTCCAGGGCTGGAGAAAGGTCTGGGAGAGATAGTTACCAGGAAGAGAGGTAGCTAAAGTGTTAATGGCGATTTTTTCCCCAGTAACAACTTTCTACAATGAATAGAGAAAAGAGTACTAAATACTCCCTCTGAAGTAGTAATGGAGAAGATACCTTCAGATAGTCCATTCTAATCTAAGTTCTTGCCAGTGGTTCTGAAAGTGCAGTCCTCAGACCAGCAGCCTTAACGTCACCTGGGAACTTTATTAATGCAAACTATGGGACCCCACCCAGGACCAACTACATCAGAAATTTGAAGGGGGGCGGGGTAGGGGGAGTCTACCTGATAAAGCCTCCAGGTAATTCTGATGCACATTCAAGTTTTATAGACTTGCCTATTATAGATTTAAAAAAAACAACAACAACAACACTATCTCATTTTGTTGCTTATGTTTAGCAGAAAAAACCCCAAGACTGCTACTTAAAGGGTTCTCCCAACAATGCAATAAACATGTGTTGCGTACCTAGTCTATGCAGGGTAGTGTGTAATGTTGAGAGAGATGGGGAATAAGGCATATGGTCCTTGCCCAAAAGGAAACTTGCATCGGGTTAAGCCGACGTACACACCTGAAGTTGAGCAAGTGCACATGTAACCATTTAACTGAAGTAGGAGGCAAGGATTTAAGCAGCACGGGCACTTACTAAGTGCCAAGCGCTGGAGAGCTGCTGGGAAGCAGGTGTTGTTAGAGCATGATAACGCAACCCTGAACGTGAGAGTCTGAATCTTGATAGGAACTTTCAATGACAAACTGCAAAACCCATAATGTGAGCTCGCCATCTAAGCAGAGGTTTCCTGGGCTTGGGCATGGTTTAATGGTATACCTAAAGGTGAGAAAATGCGTAAATTACCCTTAGGTAAATAAGTAATCGCCATGTGACTGACCTTGGCCCAAGGGCCTCCCCTATAGTGGTTTGCATTCTGGCATGCCTGCAGCAAGTCAGTGCCTGGGTGAAGGTCGGGTTCCCTTTGAATAGTGCCCCACATATCCGAGCTATCTGCAGTGACCAACAAAGGCATGTAGGGGTCAAACGTTCCCGTTCCCAGTCATCCCCAGCACCTAAGGGGCCCGCTGCAGTTACAGCTCTCGGATACTGGGTGCGGGGAGGATAGGAGAGGCGTGGGCCGGCCAGGAGCTCTCGGTGAGCAAGGCGCGCTTGCAAGCTCAGAACTATGACTCCATGCGCTTCTAAGTAAAACCATCACTTTTCCTTTTGCCTTCTTAGAAAGCGGTTCCCATGGTTACAAGATAGCGGAGATAAGTCGCCCTTGGGACCCAGCGCTCAGACCCAGTTCCCGCCTCGAGGACTGCAGACAGGAGTCACCTGAGCGGGGGCTTCCCAGCTGGGGCAGAGCTGGGGCCAAAACACACAAGAAGCAACAAAGGGACGCCACTCGGTGGAGAGTTGGCAGTGACGGCGGAGCAAGGATGCCAAGGGGCTTCGAAGACGGAAATCTTCCACCCCGGATCCCCGGGGGGCGTCGGGGGGAAGGGCCGCCGGCGCCCGAGGAGCGCGAGG